CTGTTGTTGTGAGCTGGAAATACATACAGGAATAGAAGCACAGACTCCTGGTCACTCCTACCATTTAAGTCCCAAGCTTGTATTTGTGTGGGGTTTTGATCTTTGAAAATACTCCAGAAAAGTAAGGGTGACTGTGTGACTATCGGGCCAAACTTCATAACTAAGTTTGACATTGAACGGCGGAGCTGAGACAAGGAAGGCATTGAAGAGAAAAGGCTTCTGAGTGGGAATCAAGGAACAGCCGGGCCACCGGCGGCACCCATCGCTCGGAGCCTGTCTGTTTCACCGTTCAGCCGACTGCGTTTGACCAGATGGGCGGAGAAAGCGCTTCCAAGATGAACTGACAATGCGCTCTCTGACTCTGTGGTTTTATGACTGCTGGAAATGACTCGGTGCGGAGCGGTGAGATGGCTTCCCTCCTGCTTTTGCACGGCCCACCAGGTGTACTGCCTGCATCTCATCCTCGGGGCCCATCTGCTCCGAGACGGGGCCCTTACCTACACTGCAAATGTGCCGGGTCACAGACTGAGTGCAATAAGTTGGGGCTGAAACGGCGGGGCATTACATAAGCTTCTCAGCACGGGCGTGGACCGAAGAAACCAGTCACAGAAGTGCAAGTCGTGACACTGAGCAGAGACCCAGGAGAGGGACATTCTTCCTCTCCCACAAGCAGCCGTGTTGAGCCGGCAGGAGACAGAACATAACGTTCAGACAACACATTTAAATGGCCAGGTTGCCAGCCCCGGATCCACAGGTGATTATTCACACTCACCTCCTCTTCCTTTATCGAAGTGGTAAATCCTCCTGGTCGTTTGCTGGTACAGGTAAGGGGAAGTCATGGGATCTTTACAGTCGCACAAAGCACACGCCTTCCAGGCCCCTGGCACAGCTGTGTTTTCCAAGGACTCCATTCTGGTTTGCACGTAGCCGCAGACGAGACTTTTGAGAAAAGCTCAAGCTGACAACAAAGAAAACACGTGAAAGCTAAGGTTTTCTTATCTGCAATCAGGGTTCATCTCTGTGCAATTTCCTCTTCTGACCCCGAAGTCTGCACCGTTGTCAGGACCTTAAGTTTATTTACGGCCCCTGCTTGGACTCCGGCCCTTGGGAAGCCTGGTACCAGGCCTCCCTGTGCACCGCACCACGGTGATAAAAGTCGGCCCGGAGCAGCCATGGAGGGGGGCAGCTGTCTCCACTCTGCTCTGCGTGACCTAGCAACAGCCCAGCAACAGCCCACACGCAGGCTGGCCTTCGTGGTGGGCCTCTGCCCCAGAGGGAAATCTGAAGGTCGGTCCAAGGACATGCACTTTATGGCTCTGCCCGTGGACACCGAAGCAAGCATTCAAATACAGCCTGGCAAAGTGAACATGGGAAGAAGCGGCCAAGGTCAAAAGAGGTCAAAACCAAAAGGAAGATGGTGTCCCCAAAGCACAGTTTTCAGCTTCGCCGCTGGGTCTGCCTTCCAGGCTCCTGCCAACCAAGGGAAGAAAGTCAACAGAACACGGGAGTTCCCACACTCCTGAGTCTCTGGTGCTATGACTCCAAATCTCATAGAAAACTCCCCCGACTCCCTTAACATTTTTGACTTAACATTCGTAAAATTTTCCCAAACAACGGTCTTTGCCAAAACTTGAATATCAAATATTAAATATGGCAGAGTAACACCCTTAAGAGGCTATTGTGTTTAGTAGCATCTTTTATCCGTCAAAAATGAGGAGGAGATGTTCCCGTGGGTTTCTGAATTCCATTCGCTTTGTTAACACAGCCTGGCAGCCAGGGGACCCTGACAAAATTTGCCCTGTGACAAACCTACACAGTGACCCAAAAGGAGTGACAAGCCACGCTAATGAGAAAATGATGTGAATGGCCAGCTCTCTGCTCTTCCCACAAGGATTTTTAATTACAGAGAAATCAGCAGCCGTGCCCGGGGTTGCCCAGGGGCACTGGCCATGCAGAATGACACCTTGGAGGGGGGTGAATTTAAAGTAAATGGGCTGGAAATACTGGCGTTCCGAGTGCTCAGCAACCGCACACTGGGGGAACACGCGGCCCCTCGTCCGGACTGTGCTGACCCCAGGCTTTGTGGCGGCTGATTCCGGGGAGGGGGCCCGTCCTTGCAATCGATCCCTGATCGAATGGGAAAATCGTCTTTCACAGAGACCGCCTGTCCCAGATCTGGACAAACAGGGTCACGGTCAGCCCGGGATCTCGTGAGCAGTCACCCGCTTTCCCCACTCTTGAAGTAAATATCCACAGGGCTCTCTGACTTCCTGGAGGAATGTATTCCTCCTCAGTGCGGTTGCATTTTTGTGCAGCTCGATTCATGCAGGGTATTTCAAATGCAATTTTTTCTCAGCTTAAGGGGGCTTCTATCTTTTTCTCTTCCTGCTCCCTTCTATAGGAAGTTTATAATATTAGATAAACTACTTAAATGTACTCAGATGAATCAGCCCACCCACGAGAAGTCCAGACACACTGCCCAGTGCCTGAAACTCCGCTGTGTCAGCCAAGGGTGTCCCAGGTTTTCTCCAACGGGCTCAGCCAGTGAAACAGTGCAAAACCCAAAGGAAAAGAGAAGCTGCGTTCAGCTTTTGTGACTGACAGTAACCCCTGAACTTGAATTATGACATTTGTTGTTTATGTGAATAATGGGATGCACTTGGCTCCCTGTCCGAATGTCCTATTACACAGTGAACACGAAAGACCACCACTCCTGTTGAAGGAAGGAGCGAACTAGTTCACCAACAAGGAGTGTGGCAGGCGTGGCCCCTCACTCACTCGGGACCTTCCCCCCTTGGGGACAGGCAGCAGTCCACGCATGGCAAGGCCGCATGGCACCACAAGGCTCCCCACTCGGGACAGTGGCCTTGGGAAGGAGGGAGGCCCCGTCTGTGCATTGGAGTCAGACTTGAGTTCAAGGCTTGGACCTGATGCAACTGATGCAAGGTGACCAGCGTTAGAAACATTTCCTTTGAACTCACATTGGAACGGCGTTATCTGGTCCCTAGAATCCCATGTGCCCTGATCCCTAAGCCAAGTCCCATATTTCAGGGTGAGCCCTCCAGGATGGAGACGGAGGGGGCAGCAGACAAAGCCTGGGAGCTTCCGGCGTGTGAGAGAGAAGGCCGTTCTGACACTGGTCACCGTTGTGTGGCTGGAGGGTAGGGACCTGCGGTGGGCTCTGCAGGAGGGGACCCAGGGGGCTCAACTCCAGACACAGCAAAGGACAGCAGGGCTTTGGGGCACAGAGCAGGTGGGGACAGGGTCTAGGAGAATGCGGTGTCCGTGCTAAAGGTGACTGGCAGCTTCTTGCCGAAGGCAGGTGGGGTGAGAAGAAATGACCTGGGGCTGGAGGGGATTCGGAGTTTGGTCAAATGTTATCAGCTCGCCAAGGTTGGGGGTGCTGGGTGAACCAACAGGGCTGTGGTCCAGCACGGCCAACGCTGACGGTCAAGGTGGGGACGATGTGCCGGGGCTGATGAGGGCTGGGCCACAGACAGAAAGCGCATGTGCAGCAGTGCATGTGGGGTGGGCGGGGCTGAGGACGGCGTCACGTGTGACTGGTGGAGCCACCACCCGCGCTCCGTCTGACGGGCACGTCTAGGGAGGACTGATGTTTAACACAAAAATGAGATCAAGCTCTCCTGGAGTGGGGGCCACGCTAGTCAGTTCAATGAAAAAAAAAAACAGTTGCAAAACCGTGTATTTAGTATAATTCCACATTTGATCAAAGTGAGGAATAATAAATATGAGTCCATGTGCAGGGAAGAAGCTCGGGAACATAAACTGAATTGCAAGTTTTCTTTGGCAAATGAGTTGGAGTGAAGGCTCAAGTTTCATGTTATATGTTTCACTAACGCAGTTTTTAAATTAACGTTACTTTAGGAATTAGGAAAAAGTATTTTTAAAGTGGAAGAGGGGTACCAGGGTCCTGATACCTGCTTCCCATGGTCCAGAAAACAGTTTCCCCCAAAGTAGCCGCGTCAGCTGACTCACTGCCTCCTGGGCCCGCCTTCATCCGGTCACCAGTGCACCTGCCCCAGGCCAGGCACGCGGTTCCCCGAGTGCAGCCTGGGGCTCGGGCCAGGGCTGTGGGTATGTTTGAATGCCAAGAACACAGGAGGAACAAATATGGGAACAAAGGCGTGGTGAAGGGCATCAGAAAAGTACCAACAGCAGGTTCTTAACAAGCCAGCAAGCAAGAGCACAGGTCCAACAAACTTTCGAAGTAAATTTGTGCCCCAGATTCCATGGGGAGCATGGCTGGGGGGGGCCTTTCCCAAAGGCAGGGAGTGAGAACCATCCCACCTCTGGTTTGACCTTTAACCCTGGGCTGGACACTGGGCGGCACCTCTGATTAGCTGTGTGATGTTGGGGACGTTACCTAAGCTCTCTGACGTTTGGTTTCTTCATCAGTAACATGTGGGGAAGTATAGCACCTCCCTCATCAGGCTGTCCCGTAACCCACATCACACCTCAGTGCAGGACATAACTCCCAGCTCAGCGCCTGACACGTGATGAAGGCTCAGTAACCATCTGCTGTTCAAATTTTTTAAAAAAGTGACAAAAGAAGGCAAAACAGAAACAAAACCAGAAATAACCACTGACAACCCTTAATAGGCTAACATAACATAAAAGCATTTAATAAAGGTTTATTGGCATCTGATCACATGTGAACATCACAGCAAACTCTATATGATAATCAGGTACCAAGCACGGTGGGTGGGGTGGAGTATGAGACACCATTAAAATCGAAATTGTACACAATCAATTTGGCGATACTTTGTGGACTATTTTTCTTGTTTCTGCCCCTCCATCTTTGTCCACACCAACAATAACTTGTTTATAAATGTCCAGGCCAAGCTTTCAACGTATTTTAACTTCCCCCCACTTTTATCAATCCCCCCTCCTGTGCTCTGTTGCAGCGAAATTCTGCTTCCCTCGTAAGCACTAGGCTCATACCATGCAAGTGCGGGTGAAAAGAGGGCGCCCTGGAGCCAGGCGGCCCCGCTTCGTGCCCACCTGGTGACACCTGGGGCTTCTTTGTTCTTTGGGTTCTGCGTCTGTGCAGTGAGGATAACATAACTCCTGCATTTCAGAGTCGTTAGGATTGAGCAGCTGTAGCTCTCATGCCTGGCACTCACTAGCTGCTTTGCTTAGCTCCCTACTTTTCCATAAAGAACCTTAGTGTTCATCACCCTCCTCGTTTTACAAATGAAGCCACTCAAGTCGCAGGAGTTAAAGCCATCCACGGCCGCTTCCTGGGCCTCCACTGTCCACTGCTGTCCTTGCCCTTATTAGCTTGTTGAACTCCAATAGAGAAAACTCAGTGCAATCAAAAGGTATTCTTTCCCTGGTTCTAACATAGGTAAGCCGCCAACGCACTTTGAAAGCACGAGTGAGTTTTATGGGAGCTGCTGGGTAGTCTACGAATGGCCCAAAGTCCTCAGAGATATTGAAAACTGGAGTTCTCTTCTCCCGAGATCTCCACGGCAGGACATAAGCGTCTGTGTGCTTTGGTCCCTGGCGTGCCCGGTCGCAGAATTTATCCACACGGGACACCCAGCCAGGAATGGGCGTCAGGAGCAGCCAGGTTGGCTCAGCACCCAGCCCCCTGCCATTAGTTGACAAATACAACAAAACACACGCCACTTAAATGGGGACGCTGTGGTCCTGCCCTAATTTCCCATCTGTGTCCTCTTTCTCCGTGCCTGAAGATCACTCCCGGGTTACCCTCAAGAGCCCGTGACCGCGTGCATGATGGGAAAAAGCAAAATCGGGAAACCTGTCCCTTAGATGTTGGCCGCTTCAGTCGAGGCAAGTTCTGAAGCCCTGTTTGCTCCTGGGCAGCAGGTGTTCCAACCCACCACATAAAGCGGTCGGCCAACAGTCTGTGCTCTCTTTAAAAACATGTCTGTTCAGTGACATTTTAAAACTGGTTGGATTTTATTTGGTTACTTGAGAACTACGTATACTTGGTTTTTGCCCTCATTGGTCCACTTGCCTCCTTACCTGGCTTGAGCAGAGCTCTTACCACACCCAGAAAGAGCCGGAAACTTTCAGTGTTGCTACGGCGACTGCGGCTGTCCTGAACCCGGACACCCACGTTGGGAAGGGGCGGTCGCGGTGACGGGCGGCCCTGGACTGTCAGCAAAGTCCTGCTGCGGCTCACGCCCCGTCTGGCTGTCTCTGTGAGGAGGGCGCCGCGGTCTGTTAATTCCAGCCCGGGAGTCTGCGGACGGGCACGGGCTGGGTGGGGCAGACGCGGAGGCCTCTGGGACATTTCTGTGGTTCTCCGGGCTGAGTGGCTGCTTCCAGAAGCTGCCTGTTGACTGGGTGCTGCAACTGTCAGGCCTGCGCAGTGAAGGCGCTAACATATTCATCTTATTTCCGAGTTGTTTTACAGGAAGGGGCGAGACCGAACCTCTAACCCCACTACTGCTCACACACTCGATTCTGTTGATTGTAGACAATTTTTCTCAGACGCAAAACCCTGTCAGAGTTATAGCTGAATGTGGACATTTCATGGCCTTGTCAAGTACATATAACTGAAACAACTTATACATAGATTAGGTGTATAATACTGTGCTGCCCTATTTGTATAAATTGGGAGAATCACACGAAGAACTAACTCTGGACCAGACACAGGTGTTTGCTTATTTCCAAACTAGGGCCATTTGACTGGGCTGTTAATTTTGGCAGGTTATTAACACAAGAAGAGGGAGGTGGCAAACACTTTCTAACTGCTGCTTAGAAGCCACCATTTCGGACGATCATTCTGCACTCAAAAGCAAAGCAGCACATTCGTCCCATCTCAGCTGTAAGAAGGTCGTCTTTCTAGATGGTTCCAACTGGACCTCATCGCCCACAGCAAGGACCCGCCCACTCTGATGTCTCTATTTTGCACCTTAGTCTCCAAATAATTGCCCCCAAACCGGAAGTCACAGGACACCCCATGTCTGAGGAGCCTCCCATGTCCCTCACTCAAAGCCTCTGGCTCTCTCTTTCTAGCCAGTTCCAGGAAACCCTTACCCTTCCCCGTGGCCCACTGGGAGGATGAGCTACGTTTATCCATTTCCAGTTTTGATGGGTCTTTTTCTGGGACCAACCCTCCCTGCACCAAGCTCTGCCCCCAACACAATGGGGAAGCGGCTGACCAATGGTAGGGGGCCGAGGGCTCCACCCAGGGCCTGGCCGACCTCGGAGATGGTTGTTTTTCTCTGGCGGTGACCAGTCGCCTCCTTCGAATGAATAGTCTAAAACATCTTTGAGAGTGGTATAAGGGAGGTTATGACTAGCCATTCTAGTTAACTTCCTCTTTAACCTTTGATGACTGAGTTTGTTTCTCAAAGGTTGAAGGGGCAGAAGGTACATGAGCAGAAATGAAGGAAATTTGACCCAGACTCACAATCCACCATTCCCAGGAAACCGAGGGTCTCTCACAGTGTTAACAGACGGTGATTACGGTGACGTTTTCCAGGGTAAGGTCGGGTGTAGAACAGATTCCCAAAGCTTTGTAAAATCAAGCCCTATTTGATCTCAAACGCCGGTTAGGGAAAGAAATGAGATAAAACTAAACTTTCCCCCATCTCCCCTCTCTACCCCTCTTTCTTCCACTTTTCACCTTCAAACTAACAAAATCGCCCCAAGTCCCAACTCACAGTTCATTTTCCAGCCGACAGTCTCTGGGGACAGCACAGCAGTGAGTGTGCCCTGGTGCCCCCAGGTCCCTCCCCTCGGAGGAGTGCCCAGGACGCCCAGGCCTGCCAGCGGTGGCTTTGCTGGCCGGGGGACAGACCCCAAGGTGATGCTTGCTGATGTCCCTGGTTTCACATGGTGTCACCCCTCTTCTCCTAGTGTCTCCGTATCAGAGAGAGAAGGCAGCGGCCGCAGGAGCTCCACGTCCCCGAGTTCTTCCACTTCGGGGCTGGTTTTGTGCACTCTGTGTTGGCGCCAGCCCCTGAACAGAGGCAGAGACGTACGCGTGGGGTGACTCGCCATGGTTTCCTGAAGTGAACCGGGAGCCCAGAAATCTGGGTTCTGGTCTCACTGGGCCTCAGTTGCCCATGTCAGAAAGGAGGCCATGTCCCGGGTGGTCCCCAGAGGGGCTGGCTCAGCACTGAGAGAGACGCCAAGGGGCTGCAGGGTCGTCAGGTCTCCTGACTTGTACCTGAAACTGTGTGTGTGTCTCATGAAGGTGCCTGGACGCCCCCCCCGCCACTGTTAAGAACCATTCAGCGTCTTTCAGACCCCGAAGATCATCTGAGTGATGAGTTTACTGCGGTCAGTCCATTTGGCTTTGCAGGATTCCAAAGTCACCATTTTCTCAAATGTATTCCAAGTAGCAAAAACACAGGGTGCTTACGTCTTTCTGGCCCCAATCCTTTGAAGCATGCCTAAAAATTTATCTGGACACTGATGATAAAGTAACTTCACCAGGAGAATTATCTGCTAGAACTCTTATAGATTCTGAATAGTTTAACAAATTATTTAGCAAATACAGGGCTACCATTTAAGCAACTGACTAATGATCCTGTAGCCTCAGGTTTGCGTGTGCATAAACCTAGATTAGAATATTTTGTGTCTCTAAAAATAGCCATACAATTTTTTTTCTTACAAGTTTGGAGTTATTCGTTGTAGGTTATACACAGAATCTTAAGGAAATCCAAAATGGTCTTTAAGAATGAGTTGCTTTAAAACCACCAATGGAAGTTTGTTTCCTTTTGGAAAATAATCCACAAGTTAACCCCCCACACACACCGCCTTACCCCGAGAATTGGTGATTTATACTCAGGCGAGGACTTTGGGCAATTCCACCACTTAATCGGTTTCAACTACGAGAACTCCGTTTTCACTTCTCTGGTCTTCCATTGATGTTTGCACCTGAAAAATGAAGATTGTGAACTTGAACTATGTGTGTTCAAACTCCTCCTCCTCAGTGATGCTCTGGGAGTCCCAACAGGGACTCCCAACACCCCGCCGTCAGCACAGACCCCTAGAGCTTGAAGGACACTCGGTGGTGCTTCTCCGCAGCTGCTGCTCTCCGGTCCTTTTGTTCATTAACGACACGTCTTCTCTCTTGTCCTCAGTTCACCTGAATGCCCCCAAACCTGAACACAGTAGTAAATGAGGGAGACTTATTTTTATAGCTTTTTTTCTCTTTATGAGTGACAGCACTTTCACAATGTCTTTAATTTTTCCTGTAATTTTTAAAAGCCCAATTTCCCTGGTACACCTTGAAAGGGTTCTCGGATTTATCCAGACTCTGCGGAAGCCACAGTCACAGGCGGCTCAAAAGTAGAGACTCGGTGACGAGGACTCGGCCTGGGCCCCCGGGTCTCTGAGTGTGAAGCCCGCCCCCCTCGGAAGCTGCAACGACTGGTTTGCCGCCGTGAACCCGGCACGTTGCTGCGCAGTAACACATTTGTGATGACGGAGAGAGTGGATCCTCCCTCGGAAGGCAGCTGATGACTCAGGGGCCACGCCTCCGGGATGTGCTCAGATTTACAGGGTTAGTGTCCACCCGCGTTTTCCTCGGGAAGTTACATGCCTGCTCTCATGAAAATCAGTTCAGATCTCATCGCTGTTTTGGACAGATGTGACGGGCTCTGGTTTGGATTCAACACTGACCAGCTGGACTTTTACGGGGGATATTTTCTCCCAGTGGCCACATCATCTGTTGAGTGACACCACTGACCCACCTGAGCCGTCGCGACCTGCGCTCCGTGGGAACGCCACCTGCCGCACCCCAGGTGAAGGGTGGGGCCAGCAGGCCCAGGACCGCGAGAGGTTAAGGGTTACACCTGTCCCTACTGCTGGTTCCAGAAACATTCTCTGAGGGTCACAGATTCCACCAAGAGCAACGTGTTCTAATAGAAGAGATGCTATAATGCCATGTTACCCAAATGTGTCACCACCCGACTTTACAAAAAGGAACGGGAGACAGGAGACAGTGACAGGTCTTCCTGAAGTCACATGGCTTCCACGACTGTAAGTTCCGGACTCTTCCGAACCCTGGTCCAGGGCTCTGCGCCACCGCACGGACAGAACCTGCGAGGAATGACGGCCCCCCGGGACGGCCCTTCCTGCAGAGCCCTGAGACGCGGTCCCCGTTCTTCTTGGCCTCGGTTCCAGCTTACACCCAAATTAGCTTTTAAAAATTCATGAAAATATCAAAGTTAAAAGCTCCAGACTGTTAATGTTACGAAACAGCAGCCTCTGTCGTTTTCTCGTTCCTAATCACAGTCAGAGGGAAAACATATGGACTGTCCTCTGCTTTGTGCTTAAAACAGGTGCTCGTCATTAAAGTGCAGGTTGTTCGGGATGATTCGTCCAATCTGTTCGAACAAGCCCACCAGGGCTCCCTCAGTGCTCACAGCAGCGAGCCGTTTGCCATCGAACCACAACAACAGAATGCCCACCTCCAGTGCCACCGGCCTTCAGGGAGAGACAGCAGGTCCTTTAACCATAAAAAAGGGTCAGTTCTGGCGCCGAAGTACAGAGAGGCGCAGTTGGACGGACGGAACATGGATTGAATACACCAAGGTAGCTGCTTGGGAAAATGAGCAGTACGTCATCTAGTATCTTTAATTTTATGTACATGAATATCATGTGTCGACTTTGTACATGAGATACATACCGCATTTCAACATTTTACTCAACAGGTAAGAATTTACAGTATCACTGACTAGAGAGCTGTCCACTTCGTATACTTAGATTAAATCTGCACTTTAACAGGAGAAGAATTTAATAGTTTACAATCATAGAAACACAGACATTTAAAACAAGACTTTATAAAATAATTTATATATATATATATATATCTTCTAGCATCTATAGAGAGGAATGATTTGCTTTTGTGGATGTGTGCAATGAATGGCATATTTTAACTTTTTAGGTAATAAAATAATTTAGGAGCGGTTCATGCAGTGGTCAAAGCAAGGGATGGCGGTTCCTTCGAGACGTCCTCTGTCTGAGACGTCAGCACGCTGGGCACACCGGAACGAGTCTCCCCCGCCCGGGGCACGCCATGGCCCACAGACACGCTGACACCCTTCCTTCCACAGCACGGGCGCCGGCCCCAAGGCCTCCCACCCGCAGGGGGCGCTGGCTCACTCTCCATCTCTCCTGGCAGTCTGCGTCCTGCACCTCTGCCCCAGGTCACTAGCAGAACCTCCTGGTTTTCACGACCTTGCTCTGGTACTTCACCGAGTGGCCCCCGTGCCCGACGACGTACACGTCCAGCAGGTAGGCTCTGCCCGGCTGGAGGCCTGTGATGGTCTCCGTGGTGACCGCTTTCTGCAGGTTCTGGCTGTGGAAGAACTTACAGAGGACCTTCTCCGACCTCTTCCTCGTGTCCGGTCCTAGACACTGGTTCTGCTCTCTCTTCTTCTGGTCCTCGCTGTAGCTGTCGTCCACCTCCTTCTTGTAGATGCAGAACTTGTTCCTGTCCTGCGTGCCCAGCCAGGCCACGGTGGCCGAGGAGCAGGTGCGCAGCCTGTCGAAGGCTTTGATCCTCGTGTCCTCGGGCAGCGAGGGGAAGGCGTGCTTGCCCGGCCGCGTGCTGGCCAGGACCTTCAACACGGACGCCCCTTTCTTGTTCCCTTTCAGGCGGACCAGGTACTTGGCTTTGGGCTTCCCCCGGAGCAGGAACTGCCGGATGCCCTCCACGTGCTGCGACAGGACCAGTTTCCCGTCTCTCCTCACCTGGACCTGCACGGCCCCCAGGCAGGAGTGGACGAAGAAGGTGACCTTCTGGTGGGAGGAGACGGGGGCGAACCGCAGGACCTGGGCTCCCTTCCTCTTCACGAACACGTCCGTCACCCTCCCGTCTTTCAGCTCGGCCGTCTTCTGCTCGGCCTCCCGCTTGGTCCTGGCGAAGGTGCCCACGTAGGCCGTGCTCAGGTTGCTGTGGCTGCTGGCCACGAAGACGTCGAAGTAGTACTGCGTGTCGGGCTTCAGGTCGGAGACGGTGAAGACGTTCTTGTTGCCTATGCAGACCTTCCGCACGTCGGCCCTGGGCCGCGAGGGGGCTGGCCGGCCCGGGCGGGGAGGCGGCTCGGTCAGGGGGCCGCGCTCCGCGCCCGGGCTGCCGGGCGGGAACCCGAAGTGGGCGAAGTCGAAGGGGCTGAAGTCCAGGCCGGGTTTCGGGGCCGCCATGAAGGCGTCGTCCAGGCTCAGCTTCGCCTCCACGGCGCAGAGGCTCTTGAAGTTGTGCTCCCTGTTGATGACCACGCAGTAGTGAGTGGGCTGCCTCAGCAGGGAGGCCGAGGGGCTCGGCTTCCAGGCCAGCGTGACCGTGGTGCGCCCCAGGGCCGTGACGTCCACGCGGGGGTCGTAGGGCAACTCTGGGTAGGGCCGGTCGGACTCGGGCGTGGTGGTGGCATAGACTTTGAAGTGCGTGTCCTTCTCCGTGGACAGAAGCTCCAGCAGGTACAGGCCGGAGGGGGAGCTGGACGACAGGAAGGACTCCACGTCGTTGCCTTTGTAGGAGAACAGCTCCGCGCCCGTCGCACTCGTCACCTGCTGCCTCTGCTGGTCCAGGGGCTCGGGCTCACCTGCAAGACAGAGACGGGCAGGGCCACCGCGTCAGGGCGGGGGCCGCGGTGGCCGGGCTGAGCCACTGTGAGCTGCTGCACGCCCCTCCACCGTGGAAACGACACCTGTGGCCCGGCAGACACGGGAAACGGGGGCAAGAGCCAGGCCCATCCACACCCACGGCCCACAGAGGGCCCCTCGGGAAGATCTGGGGTTATTTCCACCCAGTCTTTTATATATATATATATTACATAATCAATAGCATTCTCTCATTTTTTTGTAACTTAATAACTTTGCTTTTCATGACTAGATGTATCTAGACAAGCCTCTACTTTTGAATCATGCTCTTCTCCCTTAAAATGATAGCGTAGAAATGATACTGTGGTTAATTTTTGACCATTATAAATTGCGCTGTTCCTCTGTGTGGCAGGCTTTTCTGATTTTGAATTATTTCCTCAGGACACACTCCGGTGAGTGGACTTTTTAGGTCGAAGACGGCAGTCCCGTTAGAGGGTAATCCCCCCAGTCAATCTACCTACAGAAAGGGTGCATCCGCTGCATTTTGGCGGCCAGGCACTTTGCTAACCTTGCTTCTGTCGGTAGGACCGGACAGTCTCCTGCAAATACAGTCAGAGCACCCGTCTTCCATGGATAGAACACGGGGTGCAGGGGCGGCATCGAGAACAAGCTCTTCCCAGCTGTTAGCACTGTGGCTATCAGCCATCTCCCAGAGACCCGTGCGTGGGGCCAGAGGAGGACCGGGTGCCGCGTGGGGGCTCACCTTCCCCAGCTGGCCCCGGCAGGGGGACAGAGAGGTACAGAGGTTCTCGTATTTTAGCCCTGAGACCAACACAGCCACCCCACGACTGGCCCTTTTCTCCCTCAGCCTCATCCCTCCCCATGCACACTGTCAGTCTCTCCCTAAATACTGCGGGCTCTCGTCCCCTTCAAGTTATGGTGCCTGTGCCCCCCCCCCCGCAGGAAAGGGCAGCTTTCCAGGGCCCCCTGCAGACCCCTCTCGTTGCCGGGCATCTTGTCGTCTGCTTTCCGTCACTGGCACGGTCTCCAAATGCCTGCCCCACGCCTGCTGTGCCTTCCTTCTCATCCCGACTCACTCTGGTTTCTCTCCTTGTTTCCACCCTTTATGCCCCAGAGATCACAGGGCCTTACTTAACCTTGGCTGCATGTCAGAATCACTCCGGCTGAGCCGGTAACAGTCCCCGAGTGCAGACCACCCCGGGGCAATCGGTGAGACCCTCAGAGGGCAGAACCCAGACGTCAGTGTTCTGTGAAGCCCCCAGCAGGGTCTCCCACACAGGGGCAGGACTGCAAACCACAGCCAGAGGCGCGAGTCCACACTGTAGCCGCCCAGCACTACGGCAGCCTCTCCCCACTGTTTTTTTCACCACGGTCTCCGCCACCAGATGCCTTCTCCCCCCGCCCTCCAGCGGCCTCCCCCCCCCCACCCCACCCCCGTTCCCTTCATGGCGCAGCAGAATCTCCAGCTGCACTTGGGCGCCCTGCTGACAAGGCTGCGCACTCCGCGAGCCTTCTGCCACCCAGGTGGAGGCCCGGCCCAGCACGGCCGCTGCTCACCGGAGCCCTCCCCGCTGGCCTCCTCTGGCAGCTCCTGCAGGCTCAGCTTCCACTCCAGGGGCGTGTCGCAGGGTGTCACCGTCACCGACAGCGGGGTGTTGTCCTCTTCCACCATGAAGAAGTACCTGCGGGAAAGCGCACCCCTGAGAACGAGACAACTCTCTCTAACACGCCCGCCAAGGCAGACCGGGACAAGCACGTGGTTTAACATTCACTCAAGTCACAGAGAATAAAACCTGCTGTTTCCACAAACCTGGGCACCCCCAGCATTCCCCGTGCAAGTCCAGGAGCCCGCAGCTCTGCAACCAGATGTGCCAGCCACGTGAGGACTGAAACGCGTCACAGGCGTGGTACAGGGGTGGGGAGCTGGGTGCCGTGTCACCCAGGCCTGTCACTGCACCGTCCGTCACAGCCGAGGGAGGCGTCCGGGCAGGTGGACCGAGGGGTCCTGTGTTTCCCACCAGCGGACTCCTAAAAGGCGTCACTGGCTTCCGTCCAGAACTGTCCCAGGCCCCGTCTTTCTGGGTAGAGGGACCTAATCCCACTGAGAGGGTTTTGTTTTTTTTTTAATGTAAAGGCCCAGGTTTCAATCAGTGGAAAGACACATTTCTCTGTCACTAAAACGTCCCACTGGATTAAATAACCTGGTGGTTTTAAGACAAATCTTTTTACAAAAAATCAAAACATCCTGCTCTGTGCTTTCCCTTCAGATTTTTCTGACGTCTCAGAAGACTTTTGAAGGAGGATGAAAATGTTGCCTAATGATTAGCAACACCATATGCATTTCCCCTCCGAGTAACCCACACGGTTCCATGGTGTCGCCTTTCACAGCCGGCATCCTGGGAACCAGGAGCCTGCGGTTTCAGCCCCAGCGGGCCCGGCCACGCACTTCACCTCCGGGCACCTCTCCGCCTGTGTTCTCTCCATACCCTCTCCAGGGGGACCGCCACGGTTTTCGACTCTGTACGGCTCCTCCGTGGCTCTTTCTCACCCTCCAAGCACTATGCACCCCAGGGTAGAACGGGGGGCCTCTGCTCACTCCTGCGTGACCTCGCCCAGACTCCCGGCTCTCACATCCTCTAGGTTATCGACTCTCAAACCTCAACCATCAGCCCGAACTCTGACCTCAATTTACATACAACAACCTTCTGCCATCTTCACTTAGATTTAAACTTAAGGCATCGAATCCAAACCTGTGATTCTCGTCCCAGATCCACCCGCCCTGCAGTCCGCCTCCGCCCCGTGACCGACGCCCCGGCCTCCGAGCTGCCCAGGACAAACTCCGCGGGGTTATCGCCGACTTCTTTCTCTCCCGCTCCATGTGAACACCGTTGGCTCTGCCTTCAGAACGTACCCGGACCCGTCACTCTGCTCCCTCCTCCCCGCCGCCCTCCGGTCCAGGCCGCCATCTCCCCTTGAACTTATCGTCTGCCCTTTGCTGCTCCTCGACCTCCTCTGGAATTTTGTCTTTAGTTGCAGTACCAGCGATGACTGTATGAACATAGAAATGATGTTTCTACCTCCACTGCAACTCTTCCCTTAACCAGTGCACATTGACATTCCACCCCGATGCAGGTATCCGAGCCCTCAGTTCCCAGCCGTGGGGAAAAGACAGAATGAAAGAATAAATAAAGAAAATAGACACCAAAGGAGTGGAGGCACACATGCTCTCTGTTTTGAATGTCCTGTAACAAGAACATGTTGCTTTAAAGAAAAAAAGGTAATCTAAGTTTTAAGGCCACTCTGAGAACCCAAACCTACTTAATGTTGAGAACGGGAAGTTCACGGCTAAGCTACTTATCTGACGCAGTGGGCGGGTCATGGTGTGGGAAGCTGAACTTGAAGAACACTGCCCAGAGCAGGACACAGGTGCCTGCGGGACATCAGAGTAATTTTTAAAGAGAAATTTTGAGTCACTCCAAAATGTCAAGAGACCAAATAGTAAGACAGTGAACGTGTCCGGCAAGAAATCAGCTGATAGTCGTTCAGCTCCCTGGTCAGGTTGCGTCCTGTGCCCCGGCCGGTCTGCCCAGGCCGGGCCTCAGTCGCAATGGGACGCGAGCCCTTCCAAGGTCACGTTCCTGCATCTCGTGCCTTCGTTCTTATGAATGTCACTGAAAGACTCTTCAGTGACATTCAGAGCCAAAATTAAGCCGTAAACCTTTGAAGAATCACGTGCATTCGATGAATCCCATTCTAATCCTAGAGAGTCCTTCTTAGAGATTTCCCCCCCCCGTCCTGAAGAAAAGGAAGTGGCCATTCCGAAATGCAAGAAATGCAAAACTTGCCCTTCTCTGCCCAAAAGGTCCCGGGAAGCAAGAAACAGAACCCCCAGGGGAGGCTTAGGAGTGCGCCCCCATTTTCCCCTGTTGAGAGTAAACAGGCCGAGGGCCGACGTGCAGGGTGACAGGGGACCTTCCCTTCGGAGCAGGCATCCTGGACGGGTTACTGACAAAGGAAGGGCTGCAGGGAGCGTACCTTTTGGGCGTGTCTCTGAAGAGGTAGCTGCTGATCTCAGCCCCGTCTGGAATCACCGGGGAGCCGTGGAAGAACGCCTTGTCCCGGATCTGCATCTGGAAGAGCTCCTCGTCGCGGGTGGGCAGCTTCTGGGTCCGCGAGCCGAGGGCCAGCACCAGCCAGGACAGCCACCACCGCAGAGGCACCATCCTGGGGGGCAGAGGCCGGTGGGTGAGCGGTAGGTCTTCTGAAGGGGAACCACGCCAGCTTCCTTCTGGCAGAAGGCTGGCGCTGTGCTCTGTGTTTTGGACCATGTGCACGATCTCGAAAACTTTCTGGGCATTTTTTTTCTTCTTCAAGGTATATTGTGGGGTTGATAATGAATTTGCTGGAACCTCGGATACGGTCAAAGACGGTGAGCCTCCCAGGACACAGGGAGAAGCCTCCCAGGGCACAGCCCTCCCTGGGCGCTGAGAGGACACGCACCCCACACAGGGGTCCCTGCAGGCACCTGCACACACACGCCCCCAAGTCCGAGCCCCCGGGTGAGGCAGAGCCGCAGAGGGCCGGGACAGGCCGCTGCACGGCCACTGTCCTCCTCCCTCGAAGCCCGAGGGAGCGCCCTCCCCCCCGCCCCGCGCAGGAGCACCCCCACCCCCACTCAGATGATCGCCGACCAGGGGTTTCTGGAGATCACACAGCATTTACCTTCCTCATCAGTCAGCCTTTCGTCCACACCCACAGGGGAGTTACTGGCCGAGGGCGGCGTATCACCAGACTCTTGCCCACCAGGTGCACAGAGAAGCCCCCACTGCACTGGGAATGGGCTTTGAATCCTGGCCTCAGACCCGGAGGCCAGCGGGTGGCCGTCCTGCCCGTGGTGGTTCACTGTCACTGACTCCCACCAGAGCCCCGACGCCCTTACAGGGCACTGTCCCCTGCACAGCACTGGAGGGATGTTGTCAGGGACCGACTTCGGCGTGTGGCAGTGTCCCCAAGGGAAGCCTCACGCAGGCCAGTTCTTTGGAGTCAGGAGCAAGTGACAGGCTGCGCTTGCCCGGAGGGCCGGGGGCCTCCCCCCGCCCCCAGCCCAGACAGAGCTGTCAGCACGGGTCTCACTGCACTTTCCTGAGACTGCCCCCCAGGGAGCTGGGGCTCCGGGGAAGGTCCCAGTTCACTTTTAAGAGCTTTAAATAGCAAGTCAGGTGCAAATACTTGTGATAATTTGTAATGAAGCAGAAGCCAGTTTTATTCTGAAGTCACGACTCTGGCTCTGAGGTCACCTCCACTTAAACCATCTTCTGACTTGAACTGTGTCTTTCTGTCGGTGCTATTAAAAATAGGCCCAGACAACCAAGACACTTCGAAGGGAATTCACTTTCTTTTTCTCTGACGGGTGAGAAGCAGTTTTATCACAGCTCGCTCAACATGTCCCCAAACTTCTTTTCCCCAAACGGGCTTCTCTGCCACCTGTTCTGCGGTTTCTAGACCAAAGTCTCTGCGGTAACAGAGTTGCCATGTGCAGAACAAGGTGCTAATTCGCTAAGTGGATTATTATTACATCTAGTCCTCACAACAACCTCGTGAAGTAGGTGCTATTCTTTTTTAAAATTTATTTTATTTATTTTTAGAGAGAGGGGAAGGGAGGGAGAGAGGTAGGAAGAGAAACATCAATGTATGGTTGCCTCTCACACGCCCTCTACCGGGGACCGGGCCTGCAACCCAGGCATGTGCCCTGACTGGGAATCAAACCCGGGACCCTTTGGTTCACAGGCCAGCACTTGATCCACTGAGCCACATCAGCCAGGGCCTATTCTTATGTAATAATAAACATTCACCCAGGACACATAGTCAGGGTTGGTTAGAGCACCATCCCGATATGTCAAGGTTGGGGTTCGATCCCCAGTCAGGGATCATACAAGAATCAATGAATGAATAAGTCAGTGGAATACTAAAGCAATGTCTCGCTCTCTCCCCCGACCCTTCCTTTTCCTCTGAAATTATTCAATAAATAAGAATTAAAAACCTCCTTGTACACAAGCAGAGAACCGACGGAAATGCAGCTGGATCTGACAGCGGAATCCAAACGCTCATCCGCGGCCCCTTCTGCAGAGAACTCCGCCATCATTCCTCGCCACAGGCTCCGCTTCCCACCTTCCTCTTCGACGGCTCCGTCGCTGAACAAAAGCACGGCAGGCAGCCGAGAACCCGAGTCCTTCCTGTCAGCTCCTGCCTGGATGTGCCCTCTCAGGCGACTGATTCACCTGACCCCTCTGGACCTCCACTTCCTGAAGGATTTGGATAGATGCTCTCTCAACTCTGAAAGAGAACGAGGACTCCACTGATACTAACCGCACCCCCTGCAACCAGTTCGCAGTTTAGGAATGAGACCAGGCCTCCTTAAATATCCCCAGAGAGTCTGCCCCCAGCTCTCCCGAGGATGGACGGGCAAGGTGAACTCCAAGGGCGGGTGCGGCTGTAAGCAGCAGCTCCGTGAGAACTCCCAGCAGACCAGCATTGCATCTACCAGAAATGGCTGGAGGAATCAAAAGAAAACACGCAGTGAGCCTGCTCGAAAGGAATAGGAGCTAAACTGCCGGGACCTCCGCTCACAGCCTTACCCGCTCCCCACGATGCCCCTGCCCCTGGTGCTGACGGAAACGGCGAATCTGAATTGCACACGACCCGCTGCCTCTGCTAAGAAACATGTATCAGTTCAGCAGGACAAATAGGCCCCGTGCACTCTGGAGGGCATCCCGGAAACTCCGCCCCCTAAGAGCAGGCGGCCAGACAATGAGGCAGGCGTCGTGGGAAATGGGCAGCATCTGGCCTTCCACACTGACCAGGAGCCCGAGTGCCAGGCCCATGTCTGCCTGGAACAGGTTCAGGGCAGCCTGGCCTCCCCAGGGCCCATGTTCGCCCGCAAAGCTGACCAGTGCCCAGCACCACTGGACAGCCGGGCAGGACAGACTGCCCGGGGCCCCAGCACATCGGGATGCTCAGGGCAGCCCCGGAGCTAGAAGAGGAGCTAGTTCCGACTGGTGGGAAACTTCCCAGCATCCTCAGCTGCCATGCGAAAAACTTCCTCTTTATTAAATCACCTCATTATAGTGGTGAATGCCGAGTGAACAACAGGAACATGAATTCATCGTGTTGCGTGCGTGCTGCATGCCAGGCGGGCCTCTGAGTGCGGTGCGTGCGTCGGCCCCCGTCATGCCAGCAGCAGCCCCGTGAGGCACACACTGTTATTTTCCTCCGTTCCCAAACGAGCCCCCCACAGGGAAGACCCCAGAGGGAAGAGACTACGGTGTGAGGGCTGCTCGCCAGTTTTCAGGAGTGACTTCACAAGTATGGTAGGAATGAGCATTGCAAGTCCCCCTCGTGAGCTACGTAGCAGTTCAGTGTTCAGCGAGGACTCAGCTTCCCACAGGACCGGGCAGAGCAGGGGCTGGGACAGCTCCCCAGGGCTCGCCCTGCTGGGGGCAGAAGGACAGACAGACTGCCCCTGCTCACAGTGAACAGTCCAGGAAGACAAAGCCTCTGCGGCCATGACCCCTGCCTGTCATCCAAGGCCTGAGCTCCTGGGCTCAGGGACCCTCTCCTAAGGGACCCCACCACAGGGGCCTTCTTTGCACCACCCGTGGGAACCAGGGGTCAGAGGGCAGAAGGTGCGGACACTGTGGATTCTGCTGTTGCCCCGAGTAAGGAAGTCCTTTATCTCGGACCCAGGAGTCTTAGGCCATCCAGCGTCCAAAAAAAAAATGAGGCACACAAACCTGTTAGCCAGCAAGTGGGGTTACCTCTCAGATCCTCGCAGCTCTTGACACTGAGCATTTACTTATCAAATCCTTTACTAGTTTATCAACTGTGCTGGCTCAGGTAGGCATTTTCATTTACATTACCACCCACAGGGGCCAGGCTCAACTTTATCTCCTGCCTTCTTTACATAATATACCAGAGGTCCCCAGCTAAAATTCTCTCAGTCCACACGTTTTGTTTCTGAGTCAACGTTAACCATTTTCACCGTCACAACAAGTATGGGCACCACGGATGCCTTCCCGAGAACGGTGCTTTAAAACGAGTGTGATCCCTTGCGTCTTTTCCTCGCTGTTTCCTCTTCGTTGTATCTGTAGGAAAAGACGGGTGCTGAGCGGGCTGCGGAAGCCGTCTCCATATACAACATACTTACAGGGTGGCAATACTTGCGACATCGCAATAGACGTCAGTCGGACCAACACGCTGTGATGCCCTAAATTTAGACAGTGATGTATGTCAATCACTTTTCAATAAAACTCCAGGGAAAATCAGTAAAATCCCAGATACGAAGGTTCATAACCTGTAGGATTATAGTTTCCACATGTTATCTAATAACATTCATTTGTTGTCAGCTATAAGAGAAAGTCAATCATTCTTTTGACTTGATCACTTTACAGGCAAAAATTTTTGACAAAATGTATTTGAAAGAAGCACAGGATGTAACTAATCTAAAACTATTGTGCATATTTTTAGAATTTATATCCAATGATTCAAATTTAAAGCTTTACTTAGGTATTTTTAAAGGAGGGTTTTAAGATTGTATAAATTTTTTTCCTGACCAATAAAATATTTTCTCTCATTCAGCTTAAAGGCTTAGTCACTTTAAATGATTAACTGAAAATACATTCTTAAGAATAAGCCTGGGGTAAGCCCGTCCATCAGAACAGACTTTTGTTCTAAGATTACAAAAGTGCCCTCTGATGGTATAATGTTCCTCTCATTTCTTCTCGTGGCTTGTAGGTGTCCAGAGCTTGTCTAAAGTTTAAGTTAAATGGCACATCTCAGAATTCCTCTCTCAGTGTTCTTTCTTTGTCCTTGGCCTCTGGGGGGGCCACCTAGTAAACAGGTCTGCACAGGAAGAAACCTTGTTCTCTCCCTACGACCAAGGGTCCAGCCCCCACAGACGGAGAGAGTTGCTGGGCTGATTCCAAATGTTTTACTCTGCTGGGGAGATCAGGTGACGTGCCACTCAATGAGTCCCTGCCCAGAAAAGGGAAAATCAAGGCGTTGTTACCCTACTGCCGAGGACACTGACTTGGGAAGTTCTGACGAGTCAAGTCGGCAGGTGCCAGCCTACAGCCCTGACCTTGCTCCGGCCCTCAGGGGCCGTCACCTGAGACGCACACCTGCAGAGGCTGCTGAGACAGAGGTGAGCAGAGGCAGACAGACACCCT